GACGACCACAAGCTAGCTGACGATCTGAACTTATTTTTCAGTCGCTTTGATGCTGCCCCTGACACCTCTCCCTCCCCCACCCCCCACTACTCTAACGACCCACCCATCAGCCCTGCCCCCAGCCTAACAATAGCCGCTAAAGAGATTAAACAACTCTTCCTGAGGCTGCACCCCCGCAAAGCTCCTGGCCCGGACCACGTGTCTCCGGCCACTCTGAGACACTGCGCCAGTGAGCTTACTCCTGTGTTCACGGACATTTTCAACTCCTCTCTGCAGTCCTGCCATGTCCCGGCCTGCTTCAAATCCTCCATCATTGTCCCCGTCCCGAAGAAGCCCAGGATCACAGGACTCAATGACTACAGACCTGTAGCACTTACGTCTGTCGTCATGAAGTCATTTGAACGCCTGGTTCTCTCCCATCTCAAGTCCCTCACCTCCCCCCTCCTGGACCCCCTGCAGTTCGCCTACAGAGCCAACAGATCTGTAGACGACGCCATTAACCTGGCCCTCCACCACATCCTACAGCACCTGGACTCCCCGGGGACCTACGCCAGGGTCCTGTTCGTGGACTTCAGCTCTGCCTTCAACACAATCCTGCCATCCCTGCTCCAGGACAAGCTCTCCCAGCTCAACGTGCCCGATTCCACCTGCAGGTGGATCACTGACTTCCTGACGGACAGGAAGCAGCGAGTGCGTCTGGGGAAGAATGTCTCGGACTCTCGGATTATAAATACAGGAGCCCCACAGGGCTGTGTTCTTTCTCCCCTGCTCTTCTCCCTGTACACCAACCACTGCACCTCCAGCCACGACTCCGTGAAGCTGATCAAGTTCGCGGACGACACCACCCTCATTGGACTCATCTCCAACAACGATGAGTCCGCCTACAGGAGGGAGGTGGACCGGCTGGTGTCCTGGTGCAGTGGTAACAACCTGGAGCTGAACGCCCAGAAGACAGTGGAGATGATTGTGGACTTCAGGAAGAGCACTGTCCCCCCACCCCCACCCCCCGTGATGGACTCCCCCATCACCTTTGTGGAGTCCTTCCGTTTCCTGGGCACCACCATCACCCAGGACCTCAAGTGGGAGCCGACCATCAGCTCCCTCATCAAGAAGGCCCAGCAGAGGATGTACTTCCTGCGGCAGCTCAGGAAAGCCAAGCTGCCTGCACAGATGTTGGTGCAGTTCTACACGGCCATCATCGAGTCCATCCTCACCTCCTCCGTCACCGTGTGGTTCGCTGGAGCCACAGTCAGCGCATTGTGCGCTCTGCAGAGGAAGTGATCGGCCGCAGCCTTCCATCGCTGCAGGACCTGTACGTCGCCCGAGCTCGAGGCCGGGCTGGTCGTATCACAGCCGACCCCTCTCACCCTGCACATGGACTATTCCAACCACTCCCCTCAGGCAGGAGGCTGCGGTCCATCAGGACTAGAACCTCCCGCCACAAGAACAGTTTCTTCCCCTCTGCTGTTGGACTCTTGAACACTTCTTAACCTGTCCCCCCGCCCTTTATAAAGTCACTTTACTGCCCATCATACGTCACTTTACTTCACTGTACTGCTGTCACCTTACATTGTGTGCACCATGTGCACTTGTATATTGTAAATAGTAACTGTAACTCTATTTTAAATTTAAATTTATTCTTTAGAAGTGTTTTTTATTCTTATTTTTATTATCTCTTTTTGACTGTTGCACTGAGCCAAAGCAATTTCCTAGTCTGTGACCTCCTGTTACTTACGTGGTAATAAAAATGATTCTGATTCTGATAAATGTTTTTCCCTTTTTTTTTTTAGTAAAGCCAGTTCGGATTCATTAAAAATGTAAATTAATTTCAAACTTTAATACTTCACCTTTGTTTCACGTTCATGTGGAGAAAGGACTATTATTGTACGTGTACTAACGTACTTGCACCAATCATGTCTGAGACAAACTGCCAACAGTTGTATCAAAGACATAATTGTCCTAATTGTTTATAATTTTGCTATTTGGAAGAGAAACATGTCATAAAAGATTTCATAAAATGTCTCTACATCCGTGTTTTCAACCAGTGGACCGTGGTGCGTTAATGTGTTATCAGAAATGATCCAATATCACCTTTAGCCAAAATTTAGAAATACTTTAAATCATTTTTCAAACTTTAATTGTCTGAACAAACCATTTTGTACTAAAAGCAGCGTCCATTAAAAGCTGCAGTTCTCTTCCCAGCACCAGTTTCAACTGTGCATGTGATTGTTTTTTAAATGATTAACGAGCCACGGTTAAGAGGTTGAAAACACTGCGTTAAATATCCGTATTACCAAGATCATGCAGTCAAAATCAATAATTCTAAACTTCTCCGCGTCTATAACTTTAAATAACAATAATAGTTTTAATAATAAAACTCATCTAAATCATGCACAAATATACTGCAATTCTAATCTCCTTGTGTCTCATGCTAAAGTAAGAGTCTAATAATTTTGACGATTGGCTTGTAATCATTCATGCAGTTAAATGTAGTGTTTTGAACGTATGAGCTAAATGTGAAAATATGACCTAAATGTCCTATATGTCTCTGTGCGTTTGTTGCCCGTCTGTATATATTTACCTTCTGTCTGTTTCATTTAGCTCGGCCACCCCCAAATGTTTGTTAATGTCTTTCTTCTTCTCATATCGTCTTTCAATTGTCTGTCTCATAGTGTCCAATGTCCTTGTCTCAATGTCTTTTTTCTTCTTCTTTCAATCAATCACTTTCTTTTTTCTTCCGATAACTTTTTCTCATAATGTCTTTCTTCTTCTTTCAATCTTTTTCTTCTCCTTTCAATAACTTTCTTTCTCATATCTGACGCACACAAGTGTGTCGTGTCCTTCTTCTTCTTAGGTTTTTCCGGCGGTTGGCGGCCTATTTTTCGCATTACCGCCACCTTCTGTTCCGTGGATGGGTCAACACTCAGTTTGTGAAAAGTCTGTGGTCTTTTCTTTGCCATGCTGTTAGAAATGGAGGCTGAAGAAGTCTTCTTCGAATGTTCTTGTTAGCTGCTGCAGCCGATACTGCTGTTGTTGGTGCCCCCTCTGGGTCGGGGGAGACGCTGATGGTCCGTTTTGATGACGCTCAGTTGAGGCTTGTGGCGGGGACGGTTTTGGCCAATGAAACAGACAGAAGTTTTCCTCAGATCAAACAGACAAACAAGAAGCACAAACGAGTGTGTTAATACCATACAAAACCAATGATTAATTACAAATCAAAATAAACCTATAAATAATTAATATTAACATTTTAAACATTAGATTCTGAAAACCGAATTCTGCATTCAACTGCTATCCTAAGCCCTATTTTTCCAAAAGTATAACGCTCTCTAAGATCATTCTAACTTTTATATCACCAAAATGTAGGGAAAAATGTTTAATAACTTGTCTAGACGTTTGGAGATGGTCAAAAGAATAAAATAATGCCTCTTTATAATCTAACTCAAAGTTCTGTGATCATATGACTCCATGACAGTAACATTATCGTGTGTATAAATGTAATTTTCTACAAAAAATATATATTTGGTATGCTTCCCTTTCTTCGCGGGAGAGATAGAGAGCAGACAGAAAGAGGGAGGGGAGGGGCCTCCCGAACAAAGGAAAAACATGGACATCTGAAATACATCCTCCTGTTAGCTACATTTTCCTCGTTTTTATCGTGACAGATCAGCGGTGAGAGTTCTCTCACGTCAAACGACACTTTGCACTTATTTAAATACGTCAGTAATGGAAAACATTACACTTTGCTTACATGAATAATGTATCAGCAGTCACAGCAGGGTCTTTTTTTTTTTTTCCGTAATACCTCTGTAACTATTAAAACATTACATCACAATACAAGAGAACTCCCAGAACTGATCTTTTGTCATTTCTCCACATGAAAACTCGCATCTTCAGCCAAGTGGCTCTCTTTTTTCTCATTAATCAGATCATTATTATTCAATAGTCAGAATCCACATTTTAAATACTCTGCTTTTTGTTTAAATTAAACGTACCCTTTTTCCCGCCCCCCGGGGGATATAGAAGGTTTTATTATCCTGTTCTGACCCTAAAGCTGTCCCTATTTCTAATTTCACTAACACTCTCTGCACTTTAAAACGGTGTGCCTCTTTTGCACTCTAAACTCTGTGGACTTTCTCTTCTCTTTTCTGTTCTTTTTTAGAGAGAGACCAAGTCTTCCCTCAAGTTTAAAACGTCAAAAAACCTAACTATTGTTTTACCGCGTCCGATAAAACGCCCATCACGGCGGTCTGTCCACACTGCAGTCTGTCGAGCCGAATTCTCTCTCTCTTCCATTTAAAACAATGTGCAGATTTCCAAAAGTATGATCTGCTTACCTCTTTTGAAGCGACTTTTTCGAAGAGAAGAGAGAATTTCCCAGGCCCACGGACCCAGTCTATATCTGAGCAAGTCCCCGTCCTGTTCCTGCACAATCACGTCGGGGTCACCAAATGATGTCAAAAAAACTTTGACGGACGTGTCCAGGATTATGCAGGATACAAGACGAAGACTTTTTCCAAGTTTAACATCTGTATTTAATTTATCTTTACAATCAGATACAGAAATTCAACAAAAGAGCTCCTATGCTGCCTATGTCCCTCGCTCGCCCTGTGCTGACTGTCCTCAAAGACCTTCAGGGAGGAAGGAGACTTCCGATGACGTCATCCATATGCGCCCAAGGGCTTTCCATCCGGGTGTGCTGGCGTCCCTTGTCCACTGGGAGGCGTCAGAATGCCGTTGGTGAATCCCCTTTCTGCCTGATTGTGTTGGACTTTGCTCTCGTTCAAGAGAGGGAGAGAGCATTGTTTATTCATGGAGTCAATAATTGTCTGGTTTTGTAAGCTGGTTATCTTTATGATTCCTGTACTATCTTGTGTCCTTGGGGTTTTTCCTGAGTGCACATTCTTTGTCTGATGTGCAGCATTTTGTGAATATTCGTCAGTGAGGTCTTTGATCGCTTCCAGTCTAACTCTGCCCTAACCCACCCTCCTCCCTCACAGGAAGCAGGTTCTGTCCACGGCCGCAGACGCTGATCGCGACGGGGTGAAGGTCCCGCGTACGCTGGCAGAGTACTGTGTCCAGACCCGAATGCCCTCCCAGGACTCGAGCTCCGACCTTCTGTACGACGACCTGTACGACGACATGGAGGAGAGCGAGGAGGAAGATAGCGATGAGGACGACGGGGAGGCCAGAGGGGGCGTGTACGGAGACCAAGACGACAGCGGCAATGAGGAGTTATGATGGAGAGGGGGAGGAGGGAAAGAGGGGGAGTTGGGCTGGAGGAGGAGACAAGCTGGCAGCGGCAACAGGGAGTCCTATTTCAATCGTGGAGCTACATCAGATTATGGGAACGCCAGGGGTGAGGTGGGTGAGCAGACGAGGGGGAGTTGGGGGAGGAGACGAGGGGGAGTTGGGGGAGGAGACGAGGGGGAGTTGGGGGAGGAGACCAGGGGGAGGTGGGGGAGGAGACCAGGGGGAGGTGGGGGAGGAGACCAGGGGGAGGTGGGTGAGGAGACCAGGGGAAGGTGGGTGCAGAGACCAGGGGAGCCATGTTCTATACAAATCAGTGAAATGTAAATAGTAAAATCTTCAACATGTTTTTATTGTTTAAACTTCTTTCAAACTCAATGAAACTCGTTCTCTTCCAAATTTTAGTTTCTTTTTTTGTTTTCACCCTAAATTTTGGCTTCAACTTTAATCTGTTTAAATTGTGTGAGTTTTTTGTCGCCGTCAGAACTGGCGGAAGAATGAGTTTATCGAAGCCAAAATTCCCTCTGTCCTTAGTCTATAATTTTCCTTCTCATTCACCTTTGTTTGTTTGATCGGTCCGCTGTGTTTTGGAGGCATTTTTTATTCAAAGAAAACAAAAATCTGCTGATTGCTAACTTGGCCTGAACAGAGATTTTGGTTTTGTTCAGATCCACTGGTTGTGACGCTGCGTGTGCCGCTCTTCATTTTGGGAACTGTTTTCTGTTTTTTTTTCTGAAGTCCAGAGACAGGACTCTGGGACTATATCCTGAAGAGATGTCCCCCTCAAACACTGGGTCTCGCTCGGACACAGGGGTAAATGCTGGGGTCATGTTGGGTGTACTGCGGTCAGACTGGCCAAACTTGGGCGTAGGTGGCGGCTGCATGAGTGCCGCTCGGAGACTTGTGTAACGTGTGTTTTATTCATGTTTATCGTTTCGTTTCAAGTTTCGTCACTTTGTCGTTTTCTGTTTCACAATAAAAGAGTTTCTCACAGTGTTGTTCCATAGTGACAGAAGGACAGGACTCGTGATGGGACTCGAGAACATTGTAAAGTGCTTTGGGTGACCTTGGTCTGTAAAATGCGCTATATAAATAAACATTACTTACTGCCAGTTATGGCGCGAAGCTTGCGCCATCGGAACAAATGCCCAGTTAAGTTAAATGTTTGTGAAAAACAGAGGACCACCCTCACTCAGCAATGAGGGGAAAAAACATCAGAGACTTGATAATATTTATTAATGGTTTATTTTGATGCGAAGAAAACAAATGTTTACATTAAATATTATAAAGAGACCAGAAAGAGAGCGTGAGTCCAGACCACATAAAAGGCTGCAGGTTTTCATGTTGTTGGGCTGATTGGAACCTGAGTCGTCACGGTAACCAGGTGGGTGGTGCCGCTTGTCCAGGGTGAGGGTCAGGGTTGGTCTCAGTCTGGAGGAGGAGACCAGCGACGTCTGAGATGACAATAAACACAGTACTTTTGTGAAGAAGGATCTGGTCACTTCCTCCGCTGCAGTTCTCGGGTCAGAGCGTCCAGCTGCAGAAACACAAGGGCTCAGTTGAAACGAAACCGCTTTATGTAAATCAAGTGTTCCAAATTGTGGTTTGGGGACAAAACCCAGCCGTACAAGAGTGTGTTGCGGCCCTGAAACTCTAGAATAATGATCTGGTATAATTAACAGTTCCACACTGTAGACCCCTGTATGGGAAAGGTTGGCGTGTTGTATGGATGGCTTTTCACCACAGGAAAGACAGGAAAATGTCCCAGTAAAAATGCTCAAAACCAACTTTCTACCTAAAAATTAGACTTCTAAAGTCACTGCTCAGTACCTAGGACCAGAAACCAGAGAGAGACCAGGGGTAGACTGTCTAAATTTGGTAACAGTGGCTCAGTTGGTAGAGCATTGGCCTTATGGCCTCGAGGTGGGTTCGAGCCAAGCCCCGGCGATCCAAGATGGCGCCCTATTCAAATGAATGGTTGTGCTCAGTGGCGCTTTGTGACGGCATGGGGGCTGAAAAGATTAGCGGAAGTTGCCTGAAACTCGCAAAGATCTATGGGAAACTCGCCTGTATTTGGGCATTGTCTGGTCCTCCCGGTTCTGCGCAGTGGATGATCTCCCATAATGCATTGCGTCAAACACGCGTGTGTGGGTCTCACACCAGGTCTCACGCACGTGCACAGAGGGGCTCGGCCGCGCTCTGACCAATCAGAGCAGTTCATCAGAGCGGGAGTTAGAGCGAGAGCCAGAGGAGCAGAGTTTGTGGCACTAAAGTGTGGATTTAAACAAAACCGAAGGATTTAAGAAGAAAAAAAGTTCAGGATGACAAGGGACACTAAAATCCCCACAAAATCCTATCATTATGAAAGCTGTAGGTTCTCTGTCAGCTGAGGTCGAGCTGTTTTAATATGCATTGAGTCCTATGGGGAAAATTTCTGGGTAGCCCACGTGAATTTAGTCTGGTTCAGTCTGCAGTACCGCGAGAATCCCCTGAGCACATGGGTTATTCAGCTACAAGCTAGTAATACCCTATCCAGTTAATATAATACATCCATGGTTCGAGCCCACCACGAGACCTACTTCATGACTCCCACTGATGTCTGCTGTCGTTGTGTCCTTGGGTAAGACACTAAACCCCACTTTGCCTGAAGCCCCTACAAAGATCTCAGCTCCTGTGGACTCACCACCTGCAGGAGGATCAATGAGGGGCTGGTGCTATGTGTACTGGCTGCAGCTCTGACTGCCACCCTCCAACCCAGAAATGGACTAAGGGGAAGAAAATGGATGGATGGGAATGCAGTAAACGTTTGGGCGCCCCTCATGTGTTGATATAAATAATTATGAAAATGTGTCGTACAAAGATGTTCCTCAGGACGCCGCGGTGCTGGGGCCTCAGATAACTGCACTCTCCGGACTCACACACTTTGATCTCCCCAGAAATCTGCAATAACACAAAGTCATAACAGAAAGTGAGACCAGATTGAAAGGGAGAGACCAAAGAGAGAGAGAGTCTGGAGCAAGGAGCGGAGCTCACGGATGGCTGTGATGCAATGAGTATAAATCAGCTGGGATACAGCAGGGCCGGGGGCACATAACTCTTACCTCTGTCGTGTCCCGCTTCCCTCCTGGGTACCAGCCGTGAGACCAGTGCTGAGCCGAGCACAAAAGCGCCCCCATGAGGAAGAGCAGCGCCACGACCAACAACGAGCGACACATGACCAGACCTGCACCAGAGGGAGAAAAAGCTGGGTTGCAAAAACTTAAAGGTATATGGGAGGATTTTCTTCTTCCGGATGGATTACCTAAACTAATGGTCCTCCTAATTGACAATCATTCTGATGATATGCAAGACACGTTTTAATAGGCGTAGCCCAACAGAAGTTTAAAGATGGGATATGTAACTTTCGTCTAAAAAAATAACATGTTTAAAGGTCGGGTACATAACTTAAGCCTATAAATAACACATGTTTAAAGCTGTGGTACGTAACTTTAGTCTAATAAATAACAATCTAATCTTCTGTAATGTTCAAGTAAAGTGTTGTGAACAAATAAGACAACAACATTTTTCCTCTTTCGTGTCAGAAGGAGCCCTCTGAGTCACCATTTGACTCACAGGGCTGAGAGCTGATTGGCTGAGTGAGGGTGGTGCTGCCTTTTAACTTTTTTGTCTGAAAAGTCTGATCTAAAGATGTGACAGATGTGAAAACTCGTGATAGAATAAATAGTTTTGGACCAGGGACTAGTGACATGGATTTATTACAGATTTCTATTGGTGTGATCTGGAAGTTACATGCCCCAGCTTTAAAAACAGACACTAAACAACACAGATGAACAGAGGATGAAAAACATGAAGATGCTCACCTGTCCTGTGGCTCTCGATGGTCTGGTCTGTGGATGCAGGCTTTATATACCTGCCCTCCTCACTCTTCTCTCCTCCTCACCCACGACCACCTCAACCCCCATCCTCCTCGGGTCAGCTCATTTCCCCGTTCAAACACTCCGCTGACGTCGCACTGACAACAGCTTCTCAAAGACTGCTTTAAAGTTAGTTTTATATTAGATATTCGACACATTCAACACATTCAAAAAATCTTGTTAGCCCTTTGCCCTTTTGACCTTTTGATTTCAAAACACGTTGGGTTTATTTCTACTGGTCCCTTACACATTAAACAAAGCTTATCTTTTTTCAATACACCCTTTTGTTGATTCTTTTACGATTCTTTTACGATTTTTTTAATGATTTATTACTCTTAAATTCAATAAAATCAATATAGCCCTTTGACCTTTTGATTTCAAAACGCGTTGGGTTTATCACCGTTTATGGTGATAGACAGGCCTCCTCTCTGACATTGTTTAAAACCAGGTTAAAAACAGTTCTGTTTAGCTGTGCATACAACTGAGGGATTTTATATTTTATATTTTTATCTTTCTTTTTAATGTACTGTGATTATTTATGATTTAAATGCTTTCTTATTTTTGTTCAGCACTTTGAGTTGCCTTGTGTATGAATTGTGCTATACAAATAAACTTGCCTTGCCTTGCCTTGCCTATGGTACTGGTCCCGCAGCAAAAAAAAGTCATAAAAAATCAACTAAAGGGTATATTGAATAAAGATGCTTTGTTTCATGTGTGCGGGACCAGTAGGCATAAACCCAACGCGTTTTGAAATCAAAAGGTCAAATATATATACATATATTTGTTGAATGTGTCGAATATAAAACTTTACCGCAGTTTCTCAAAGTTGGGGGCGGGACCCCATTATGTGTGACCTTGACCTGTGCAACGCGTTAAATAAAGAACATTTACTCCCTTATAATTTGTGCTAACTCATGCTAACATCACTATCTTCTGTTAACACTACTCGGCTTTCAGTTTTGGAAGCATAATTACTCAGCCTGTTTACATTCTTCGTCTTCATAATATTTTGACATTTTCTGTATCTATAGTAGTTTCGTGATTGACTCCATCCACTCCCACTGTTGTCTGCCGTTTGGTGTCCCTGGGCAAGAACATAGACTTTAACTATTAACACCGCTTTGCCTGAAGCCCCGTCAAAAGATCAAGGCCACTCAGAACAGAGCAGCTAATGATGAATAATCTTTTATGTTTGCATTGTGATTAGTTCTACCTTTAAACCAAGGAGCTCTCATTTTGACTGCTCTATTAATTTTAATGTAAAGTTGAAATAGTAGCTGGCAAACAACATTCTATGGCAGTTAAAGTCCGGGCTGGTCCTGGTTCTGAACTAGAGGAGGAGTGAGAGTAACCATAGCAACACACCGTTAACCCAACAGCAGTTCACATTTGGCAGCCACTCAACAATGTATTTAAAGTTATATTCAGCAGTTTTAGCATGTAATAAAGGTCAAGAAATCCCTTTATAAAGTACTTACTTTTAATACAACTAGTTAAAACCAAAAACTGTTTATTGGGATTTTTTTCCGAATTCCATTGATTTGCATAAAACAATCAAAAGGACTGCTCTGGGAGTTCTAGTAGTTTCAGAATACTAGGAGTCACTTGCCAACATCATCATCTCTTGAAACTCACACTTTGCTACAATGATGTAAACAGAATCTGTTAAAATCTCGATGCTTTATTGAGTCGTAAAAAGGCCGTAGGTCATTTACAGTTATTTACATAAGTCCAAAAACAAAACACTTTTCACATATTTCTGTGTAACATGGAGGAATGAGACAGCTGCGGATGCCATATTGGTTATACCTGCGGCGGCCATTTTGCGTTTGTGTTTTGGCCGTTACATTGTTCATTAACAATAATAGTAAGTGACCCTGACATTAGCTGATGTACACGTATACACAGTTACCACAACAACAGGCTCCACGCACCCGCATGGCCCTCAGGGCAAAAGGTCAAACCTAAAGACCCTTTGGTTTTTAGAAACGTTTCATTTTGGTCCAAAATTCAAGTCAAAATGTGCAAATCCAGCACATTCCCTTACAGTTTTTAAAGACCTCCACATTCCTCTGATCTAAAGATTTAACTTCTGGATTTTCAAAATAAAATAGCAAAACCGATAATGAAGCTTTTGTGCTGCTGTCCTTGTTTGACTCACGGAGGCACTTTGGGACACTTTGGGACCCTTTGGGACATTCGGGAGAACCACTCTGGACTCAAGGCAAAACAGATCAATAAAAAATAATCTTATAATGGCACTGCGCCACATGGGTCAGAGGAGGGAGACCGGGTCTAAAAACTAAAAGGATGACAAAATTACAGCAAAATTCAAAAGCAGAAAACCAAAGACCTGGTCTTCCCCCATGTTTCCATCAGTCAGGTTCAGGTTTACACTGTGACCTCATCGAGAGCGTTTTTGTTTCATTCAGAAAAGGTCAGAGGTCAAAGACTTTCACACGAGGAGCTAACACACGAGTGCTGGTCTGGTTCAGTCTGGTCTGAACCTGGTCTAACCCAGTCTGACGGCATAAATCTTAAGTCCCCAAAGTGAAAAAAAATACATGATTTAAAGTTTTCAGTTTCAGAAAACTGCAGTTTACAATATAGAGCATTTTACACAAAAAATATAAAATGGAACAAAATGCGAACAGTTTAAATGTTCTGGAATAAAAGGAAAATAAATAATAAACATTTCAAATTCTCTGGAATGTGACGTTTATGACATTCATGTGAGAAAAATTTGTTTATCAAAGTCTGTAACATACAGATCTAATCCTACTGCTGCTGGTGCCCCCTGCAACTGCTGCCGGCGCTGGTGCGCCCTGTAGTAGCAGGGGGCACCAGCGGCGGCAGCAGTTGTAGGGGCCCCCACCGTTGCCGCTGCCCCCTGCTGCTGCAGTTTCATGTTGCAAACTCGGTCAAATTAGAAAGTAATATAAAATAAAATCCCAGTTATTTGTACAAACAAAGAGTAAATACAAGATATATGAACAATGTTACAAAGAGTCTGAGACCTGGTCCAGACTGAGACCAGGGTCTGGTCTGGTTCAGCTGGTCCTGTGGAAGATAGACTGTCTGTACACTAGTATTTCTGTACAGCAGGTGTAAATATTATTTGAAGTACTTTATAGTAGTTGTAGTACGTAGAGTATTGTAGTAGTACTAGACTTGAAGAACTATCTGAAGTACCGGGGAGTACTTTGTAGCAGTTGTAGTACTAACACTTGGGAGTGTTCAATGAGTCATATAGTACTGGGGCGTACTTTAGAGTATTGTAGTTGTAGTACTGTTGAAGTACTGGGGGATACTCTGTAGCAGTTGTAGCACTATTTGAAGTTGGCGTAGTCGGAGAAGGCGTCAATGTACTCCTGAACCACTTTGTAGCAAAACTCATACTGCTCCTGAAACAGAGAAACACCAGGGTTAAAGTGGCCCCTGCTGGTGTGTGTGTGTGTGTGTGTGTGTGTGTGTGTGTGTGTGTGTGTGTGTGTGTGTGTGTGTGTGTGTGTGTGTGTGTGTGTGTGTGTGTGTGTGTGTGTGTGTGTGTGTGTGTGTGTGTGTGTGTGTGTGTGTGTGTGTCTTACCAGTGTCTGGACCATGTGCGGTCTCTGTAGTCTCAGGCTCTTCACGGTCTGGAACACGTCCAGGATTCCCTCTGCTTTGACACGCTCCAGGACGGTGCTAAGGGCGCAGAACGTGCCCGTGCGCCCGGCGCCCGCACTGAGGACACAGAGGAGGATTTATCTGTATAGCACTCACACACACACATGTGCTTCACTGGTAAGACAGGATCGGTGCTCGACCGCTTTTTCTTCACTCTATAAGCTGCTATTGGAAACCCCTACTGCTGCCCTGATGCCGTAACCCATCTTTTCTTAATGATCAGTAGTGATGGGAAAACAATACCAACACTCCGGCGCTTTTGTGGCTCTTCCTGAAGCTACCGGCTTCGAAACACACCGTTGGGGCGTGTATCAAAACAAATCACAAGTTAAACTATTAGAGTCTGACTGCTAATTTATACATCACGCATTACAGCACGTACGTGTTATACGCGCAGCAGACGCGCGTAACTTTTTTCCATGTTAACCTATGATGATATTTACACTTCTAGCGTTATACGCGCGTATGACGGACGTATGACGCGAGGCTGCGCTCTAATTTAGGATGGATTTCTAATTTTGTGCGCGCACCAACGCGTCTCCCATTGAAATCTCATGTAAAACATGATTTTTCTAGCGGTCCTTGGCTTTAGATCACATCTGCACACACACAGCTCTTATATTTAAACATCAGCAGGAGGAGCAGCAGGTTTTACAGTGATTCTGGACATCGTTTTTTTTCTTTCATAAAGTCTCGCGTCTGTCCAAACCAGCGCACAGAGACCATGAGGACAAACACATGCATGTGATTTGTGTTGCTCTACATCAGTCCTCTGGCCCGTACTGTCCTCTACACTGCTCCATAGACTACACAGGGAGAGCATCAGAAGACGCGGACCTGCGCACTGCCTGTGTAGATACTCCAAAAAAATGTTACGCGCAGAGACCGCACAGTGAACGCGTACGCGCTGTTTACGCCTACTGTGTAAATTCCCTGTCCGACAGTGTCTGCAGCCACCGCTTTGCTTTGCGTACTGTATCGGTATGTTGAAGCGTGTCATTGGCTCAATGTGTTTCCCGACTTCTCATTGGTTCAAAGCGTTAAAGTCTATGGTTTCGACTAGCTACAGTATAAATGATGCATCACAATGATGAATTCTTCACAATGTTGGGTAGTGAGGAGGAGAGAGAGTGGAAAAGAGAGATCCATGGTTTGGGATCTTTTTTTAACCTAAAAAGGTATTATGGCCTCATCCAATGATTTATTTGATACAATTAAGTGCTATTGATCATTTATGTTTCATGGTGAAATTGTCATTATTGTTAAAAGCGGTGTTTACTGCGCACTCAAGTATTCAGAAGCTGCAATGATTAAATTTGTCCATTACATGTCAGTGTTACAAGCTAGTGTCAGCTAGAGAGGCTCTGACACATTTGATACAATGTAGCAAACACCTTTGTGTGTTACGGGGCTTCATCTGCCCATTAACTAGTAAGCAGTAGTAGTACTTTAGTGCTTCTTACCTGCAGTGCACAGTGATGGGGTGGTTCCCCGACTGCTGCTGCTGCTTCTGGACGGCTGCAATGATGTTGATCATTCCTTTTCCGTCGGTCGGGATCCCAATCTCTGGCCAGCCATGGAAATGGAACTGCCGCACCGCGCGAGCCTTGTTCTCCTGAAAAAGTACTACAGTTATACAAGTACACGGTCAAAGTACAATGAATATAGTACTTTTTAGTACTATACTACAACTAAACAAGCATGGAGTCACAAAGTTTTACAACTATACAAGTACACAGTCAAAGTATTAAGTACTAAGACTACACAAGTACTAAACAGGTTAAAAAGACACATTACTTCAATCTTATTAAAAAGGTACATTCAGTAATTTTTACATATATGTAAACCAATCACAAATGTGACCTTTCTAAGAATATTCACTTCCACCAACATTTTGAATTGTTGTTGCAGGCTTAGAATATGACCTATAAATATGCATAAGTGCTGGATGACGTTCCATTATGCGTCATCTTGAAATACATTGGTTGATAAAAGACAAAAACGATGCGAGAATCGCAGTTCTGTTTCACAGGTGCTAATATCGTTGCTTCCACCATGTCCTGACAAGTTTGAAGAAGGAAACAAGGAGGACCAAAGTTTAAAAAAAATCTCGGGACAGGGATTAACATGTTTTCCACCACAGTATACAATAAACATTAAATAGACCAAAAATAGACACAGGTAAGAGCTCCATCAGAGACCTCTAGGACCATAGAAAAACAATTAATAAACCAGAGCAAACCCCACAATCTGGCACTTCAGAAATGCTAAACCATTTAGTATTTTCTTACACTTGCCCAAAGCCTAAAGTGCAGTATATTATTGCACTTACCCTGAACCTAAAGAGCAGTAAAGGTGGAGGTTATTTATCCCTGTAGGGCAATTCATCCTCTGCATTTGACCCATCCTGTTGGTTATGGTCAGGACCAGTGTTGGGCATGTTACTTTGAAAAAGTAATTTGTTATAGTTACTAGTTATTTCTCCCAAAAAGTAGCCGAGTTACTAACTGAGTTACTCCACTATAAAAGTAACTCGTTACCAGTAAAAGTAACTATCTCCACTTCTTTAATAATAAAATTACATCCATCCGTGACAAACTGGAGGAGGTTACTCCTGCTGTTGGTAGTGGACAAGCTGAAGCGGCATACGTGACTTCCCACTTAGACTCTTCAGTGGGCCTCGATAAATTCATGGCTGTGAGCCAAGCAGAGGTGATCTCTGTGGTCACATCCTCAAAAGCCTCAACTTGCATGTTAGACGCAGTCCCGGCATGGCTCTTCAAAGACATACTTCCTTTGATAATTGAGCCTATCGTAAATATAATAAACGCATCCATACAATGTGGCTATGTCCCACAAGCTTTTAAAACCGCGGTAATCAAACCCCTTCTGAAGAAAACAAACCTGGACCCAGAAATACTTACAAACTACAGACCGATCTCAAACCTCACTTTCATATCTAAAATCCTGGAAAAACTTATAGCTGAGCAGCTTCGCTGCCACCTGCAGGAAAATAATATGTTTGAAGTCTTTCAATCTAGATTCAGAGCTCATCATAGCACTGAAACGGCACTAGTCAAAGTCACAAATGACTTACTACTAGCTGCTGATAATGGACAAGTGTCAGTGCTGGTCCTACTGGACCTTAGTGCTGCATTTGACACAATAGACTACAGCATTCTACTGCAGAGGCTAGAATGTGATATAGGTCTTAGAGGAACAGCCCTTGGCTGGTTTAAATCCTATTTATCAGATCGGTATCACTTCGTCAACGTAAATCAGAACTCGTCGCCTTATTCTGGAGTAGAATTCGGTGTGCCGCAGGGTTCGGTACTCGGACCGATTCTTTTCACTCTCTACATGCTGCCGTTAGGAAATATTATTAAAAAGCATGGAATTAATTTCCACTGCTATGCAGATGACACACAGCTTTATCTGTCGATGAAGCCAAATCAGACAGATCAGCTAGAAAAGCTCAGTGCCTGCATAAAGGACCTTAAAATGTGGATGACTCTTAACTTCCTACTTCTCAACCCGGAGAAGACAGAAGTGATCCTACTCGGTCCGAAGCGCCTGCGTGACTCCCTCGCTAACCAGATAATTACTCTCGATAATGTCAGTATTATACCCAGTAACACTGTGAGAAATCTTGGAGTCATTTTTGACCAAGAACTCTCCTTCAAGGCTTATATAAGCCAAGCAACTAAAACGGCGTACTTCCACTTACGGAACATCGCTAAAATTAGTAATTTCCTTCCTAAAAGTGACGCGGAAAAACTTATTTCACGCATTTGTCACCTCAAGGCTCGACTACTGTAACGCTTTACTGGCAGCGTGCCCTAAAGCCTCTTTGAAGAGCTTCCAGCTCGTTCAGAATACAGCAGCTAGGATCTTAACAGGTACCAAAAGGAGGGAGCACATAACTCCGGTGTTAAAATCACTCCACTGGCTCCCTGTGGAGTACAGAATAAAGTTTAAAATCCTTCTCTTAACATATAAAGGTATAAATGGCTTGGCTCCTTCTTATCTCCAAGACACGTTAGTGTCGTATCAACCAAGTCGAGCGTTGCGCTCACAAAACGCCAGACGTCTGGTGGTTCCTAAGGTCTCAAAAATCACTGTTGGCGGCAGAGCATTTAGCTACCAAGCTCCTTTACTGTGTAATAGGCTTCCCATTTATGTTAAGGAAGCAGATACAGTCTCCACATTCAAGGCCAGGCTTAAAGCACTTTACTTTAATTTAGCATATAATTAGGTAATATATAATATATGGTGTATATATTATATATATATGCTGTATTATGTTATGTATTGTGTTATGTTGTATATTATGTTATATATTATGCTGTATGTTATGTTGTGTATTACATATGATATATATGGTATATATGATGTATATGGTATGTAATATATAATTAGGTTTGCTTGGATCGGTTTGCACACCTGGTGTGCAATCCATGAATCTTGGTGCTGTAACCTAGACTAGCCTAGCCGTGGCTGCTGCTGTCTCACCTCCTTTCAGATACGCTCTCACCTCCTTTCAGATACGAGAGAGCAGTCGTGTCTCTCTGCTCTGCTCTGCTTTTGCTTCGCCTTTTAATCTCCTTGAATCATTTTATTTACATTTTTTGTTTCTCCTTTAATCATTTTATTTACAAAACGAGGATTACTCCTTCTACACACTTCAGCTTTGTGGAATTTATCAACTTTAGTCATGTCGGGACGAAAGAGACGGAGAAGCGTCTGCGGCGGCTGTTGTGCTCTGGAAAATCAGCTCAAATCTCTTCAAACACGGATATCTATTGTGGAAACAGAAATGGGACTTAACCCGACTCTTCCAATGAGTGAAAATGGGATGAATGGACAGACTGGAAATGTAAGTTATGATGTCATTTCTTTTCCCAAAATCAACAATGAGAATTATTGGAACAATTGTGGAGCTAAACCCAAAGTTGACAAAGCTAAGAATGACAATAGGAGTGAAATAAGGCCACAACTAAATGTTCTGAAGACTTCAAACCGCTTTTTACCTCTTTCTGAAACAACAAAGCCGCTAACAACTGCAGCGCCTCCACCAAGGACAAACTGTGTCCTTATCGGAGATGGTTCGGTGAAAAATGTAAACATGGAGTCCATGCTCACTGTCTCAGTTCACTCTGCAAAAGTTGCTGAGATAAGGACTCTTCTGCCTAAAGTGTTATCTGAGAACAGTGGTGTGCGTACATTATTGATCCACACGGGGGCGGTAGATATCTATGAGAAGGCAAGCGAGAAGTTACGAATGGATTTAACGCTGTTACTGGATGACCTCAAGAAAATGGACATAAACATTTTTCTTAGTGGCCCACTTCCAAATATAGATGGAAAAATGGAGAAGTTTAGCCGTCTGTATCAGCTAAATACATTCCTACTCAATGAGTGTTCACGCAGAGGACTTGGCTTCATTGAAAACTTTAATCTGTTCTGGAATAGACACGAGCTTTTTGAAGAAAAAGGTCCACATCTGAACAACTACGGAGTAAAAGTGTTGATGGATAACTTTGCATCTGCCCTAAGACCTCAGCCTGCGCAGCGCGTGCAGCCGTTGAAAGGGAGAAAGAAGAAGCAAAGGGCACAGACATCCCGACCATCTCCACCGACTCCCGAGGTCTCTGCACCCCCACCGCCTCAAAAGAACTCCACACCTTCACGATTCAAGAAGAACTCAACACCTCCACGGCTCCGAAAGAGCTCAACGCCTCCACCCCCAGCATCATCAGCAGCTGCCATATCTTCATCAGCGCCATCAGCATATACAGCACCACCAGCAGCAGTGGATACAGCAGCAGCAGTGGCTGCTCCATCATCTTCAGCAGCAGCAGTGGCTGCTCCATCATCTTCAGCAGCAGCAGTGGCTGCTCCATCATCTTCAGCAGCACCTTCCCCACCTACAGCTCCCGTGAAGCTTCCCCCATTACTCCAGGCTACAGTCAGGCCTGTACTGGGGGTTCCTCAACCACCTCTGTCTCCACCAAAGACTCCCTCATCACCTTCCATGGACCCGGCTTGGGTCCCCCCCGCTACATCCACTCCATCTAGGGAAAATGAGGACGACCTTTCCCTTTGTTTTCTATCCCCGCCTTCACTACTGGATTTACCGGAACACTCTGCAGGCATGATAAGATCGGCGATGAAGACTATTCCTCTCACACCCACTGTAGCCAGATCAAGAGTCCTATCTAACATTCAAAACTACTCCCCATACGTACCTCCAAAGCCACCTAGGGCGTCCAACTCAAATTCTCCCACAAAATCCACCCGTCCCTCCTCTAACCCCATAAGTATTCCACCCCCCCCTCCTGCTCATTTAGCCCACCTCCCCCCTAACTCAGCACCAAGAAACCCTCCACCTCCACTCCCCCCTCGTCCACCACCCAACTCAGCCTGCCCCTCCCCTAACCCATCACCAAAAACCCATCCACCTTCAACCCCTCCCCGTCCAACTCCCAAGAACCACCCGCCTCTCCATCCTCTTCCCCCGCCTTCCCCTCCCCCTCTTTTCTCTAAACACTAGGATGCACAGGGTCTCTGCTTCGCAGCCACTGGCAGTCTAGTTAGAGGAGAGACCCGGCTGGG